ATGAAAAATTTATATATATTTATATATATATATATATATATATATATATATATATATATCTTTAAACAAGAAGTAACATCCACATTCTACAATAGCCGGATTATTCTTATTCCGTAATATCTGCATACTTCAAACAAGTAGAACATTCCCGTTCAGAGATTATTACGTTCTCGCACTTATATTTTTCTAAATTGATTTTTGAAGAATCATAACACGATTGCAGATAATGCATCTCTGTTGGCAAGAGCACGGGGTCAGCTGATTCAAATCCAAAACACGCACACACACGCATATATATATATATATATATATATATATATATATATATATATATATAAAAATCTTTATAGACATTAACTCTCTGTCGCGAAGCTGACCAGACGATGTGCGTATAGGAATGTCATCATTCGCTTTGAAATGGACACCCCGGCCCTGCCTTGGCTTGGCCTCTTCCCGAGGGTGACCGATATGTTGATACAAATTGTTAACCCTTACGCCCCTTATTGAACTGGTTGCTTCAGCCGTTTCCATAGTAATTAATTCTACGAATGAATCTGCTCATAAAGATGCGTAAACTTCAAGGTTAGTTATTCCAAAAATTTCGCTTGAGGATGAAACTGAGCTTGATACTTTAATTCAATTGAATTTTAACAATTATATTGAAGTTTTTGGCTCCTGTTTTTGAAACATGAGAACTCTTATGTAGCGAAGGAATCATATTTTTTTTAAAATAATTATAATTATAATTTAGGCTCTACTTTTGTATTGAGCACTCTATTTTAAAAATAAAAACAGAAATACTAAAGAACCTCAGATTATCTACGTAACGTGTTCTTTCCTATTTGTCTATATATTTGCACAGAGAGAGAGAGAGAGAGAGAGAGAGAGAGAGATATATATATATATATATATATATATATATGATATTAGAAAAAAAACGTTAAAAATCGCTACACGATTACAATCACGTTTCAGTATCACAAATGTGTCTCCTCGGGTGATGATACCACAGACGAGCGAAAGATTAATTTAATTTCAAGTCGAATACTTTAAAAACATAGGGTTTTGGCCTTTGATTAATTAATCCAATGTGACCTGCGTTAAATTCTAACCCACCGGAAGAATATTTAATATAGCTCATGGCATGAAGTTGTCTGCATATAAATCCTAGACATTTTTCTTATGGACTGATAAAAGTTGTTACATTATTTTGTTAGATGTATAGAAGGCTGAAGTTTAACTTTCCAAACAATTAAAAGTTAAAAGGGGTGTTGGGGTAATTTAACACAATGTTAACCAGTTATATGCGCGTTCGGCTTCTTATATAAAATTTTGTAATTGATAATTAAAAAGCTCCTTTAAGAAACTGGTAAATAACTTAACCGTTTAAAAAATATCAACAGATAAAAATATAGAACTAGTTTGGCAAATTAATATGCAACCGTTAAATAAAGATCATCGACGTAAGATGTTAATAATAATAATAATAATAATCGAAAACATGTACATCTATATAAGATGTTAATAATAATAACCGAACAAAGTAAATACCTATTAATAACTTGGCGGAACCATTCTCCCTATGCACCATACACTGCTATGATATTCCGGTGGATGACGTAAATGTGGCAGTGGAGAAGGTGAATTTTGAATGACATTTGGCATCCGATACCCTCATAAGCCTGTAACAATTTAATACACTCTTGTTAATCTGGTACCTGTGCATTACCAAGGAAGCCATGTCAGACTGAGTTAAATGCTTCCCATGCTCTCAGAGCATTTAAGATTAGAAGCACTGCAGTAGCATAACCTGTTTTCCATGCCGAAGAATGTGACGAAATCCTTGCTTAGTGTCCTGAAACTGGTGACCCTTACATCTGCGTCTGAACAAAGTGGTACATTGTCTTCAGAAGAGATCAACTTAGCCGAATGTTTCTCTGAATCCAATTTCTTATCTGATGAAGGAATACGAACTTTATGTGCTGGGGGTGTAATGACAATCAGACCATCTGAGTGAAGAACAAGTCTCATAGATGATATGCGTTAAATTATATAACTTATATACGTATATATATAGCTTCGATTATTATTATTATTATTATTATTATTATTATTATTATTATTATTTTCTTTGATTTCTGGTTTGTACATATTTTCCTGGACCCACCCAGAGGCCTAAGGCCAGAAATGGCGTCATGACATTTTCCACTGATTCAACTCCAATTAAAACACACACACACACACACACACACACACACACACACACACACATATATATATATATATATATATATATATATATATATATACATAGATAACACCCTTTGTAAGGTGTGGATTGTACTCGTGAGAACATATTTTTTGTATTTCTTTAAGGCATGAGCTTCCAGGTATTCCTTAAATAAGTCCACTGGAATCTTTTCCAATCCATCTGAAGTCTCCAACAGGGATTGTTGATGTTCCTATGTGCCACACTTTTGAGATTTCGATTTCAAGGTCCTTGAAATCGAAAATCTCCTCCTCCTACTCCTCCTCATTATTATTATTATTATTATTATTTCCCTCTGTTCCTTGAAATTAACATTTACATAACTTATATACGTATCTCTATACGTTCTATAATAATGATAATAATAATAATAATAATTATTATTATTATTATTATTATTATTATTATTATTATTATATGTATGTATATTAATGGAAAAGGTTTTGTTCGTTCCCTTCTTCTTTTTGAAGAAAAGTAATCATATTTTTTCTCTCCTCGTTCATTTCTGGCGTTTCTTCGGGTTTCCTTATCAATTTTTTCCGCATTTAATTTTACAAATTGAACTGATTTTCTAAATTTGATTGAAGATGATTCTATATTTTAATCGTGCGACAGTTTGTTCTACGATTTTGTACCTTGAAGTGTATTTCGTTGTACTTGTTGAAAAAAAAATATTGAATTATTTTCATCAACGATTGCTCTCTGACGAAGGGTTGGCTGAAAAGCTGGTTAGATATTTACTTTTTTTATTTAGTATTAAAATGCTTACATCAGCGCTATTTAAGGTTATAACCAAATGCTGCATCAAATTTTGTTCAAATACACACACACACACACACACACACATATATATATATATATATATATATATATATATATATATATATATATCCGTCCTGGGAATGACGATAAACTACATCCGCGTCCTGGGTAAGACGATAAACTACATCCAAGAGAAAGGCATCTGATCCGGAGACTTTGAGGAGCGTGGAACCACCTCTTAATTGCTGGTGTTCCCAGGTCCACCTTGACCCAAGGTGGTAGCACCTGTTAGGGTTCCAGCTATGGGCAAATAGTAAACCCCCAAATTGGGGTCAAAACACTATGAAAGTGTAAAATAGGTTTTAATACCAGAAATACTTTAGAAAATTATCACCAGAAATACATTTTTTTAAAATATTAACAGCGATACATTTTTGAGGAAAAAAATTACCAGCAATAAAAAATTTGTCGGCATTCAATAACCTATTGAGGTTGATATGCCGTAAAACAAACCAAACCAAAACCATATATATATATATATATATATATATATATATATATATAATTATTTATATATTATATGCGCGGTACTTATTTATTTTAAAAAATTAATCAGTTTGTCTAATAATCGCAAACGCGTGAAACCCAGGTTCACAAACTCACATCAATCCAACCATATATATATGTATATATATATATATATATATATATATATATATATATATATATATATATATATATATATAATTGAATATGTGTATGTTTGTGTCAGCCTTTTTGTTCATATTGATATCAGTTAAATTATATAATTTCACGTGTATCAATGTGTTATTATTATTTTATTTTGAATATGTTATTTAAATCCGTCTATGTGTACGCCTTCTGTTGGTATATGCTAAATTATATATAAATTTCACGTATGTCAATCGCCGTTATTATTATTATTATTATTATTATTATTATTATTATTTTATATATTGCTGTGTATGCGTTTTCATTTATGTATGTGTGCATATGTGTGCATGTTTGTCTTTCAATTTTTTTTATCTCGGTGTCCTTTTTTCTCAAATAGCAATTTGTCTCTTTAACAAACCTTAACTTAAAATGAAAATCTAAGATTGATGCATCCTATCCATGCATGAGTTTAAATTTACCCACAATGCTCTGTCAACCGCTGTGTAACGTGAATCAGTCATCAAAGGAAGCGACCATTTCAGAATCTACTTGATTGTTGCGAATTAGAAAAGCGATTCTAAATGATGAGGAAGGCAGTAGGCATGATGACATTGTTGGCAATGATAAATTAAAAGAGTTAGTGGAAACAAATTTATACCAAACCGTTCGTCAAGTAACCCCAGATTAGAAACTCGCGGATTAAACAAACTTACTGTATTTGAAGGAGAAAAAAAAAATATAAAGTAGAGAAATTTATAACACATGAGACAACAGGGGATGAGAAAATCGCTGTTTCGATATTTGATTGATGTCGTTCTTACAAAAATAAATTAAAAGGTGAATTCCTCACAACAACCGGAAATGACTTGCATAAAACTATTCAATAATAACGAAGTGGTAACATCTTGCACTTCTGTGCAAAGAAAAAAGAATTATGGTCCAACGCATTTTTTTTCAACAAAAATGAAGGAATATCATAATTAATTTTTACTTCAACTGGAGAAATTATGTGAAAAATCCAAACGAGCAAATAAAATAAAATGGGCCCTTCGATAATGTTCAGGCGGGGTTGTACACTTGATACTCAAATGTTCGATACACAGCGCAAGGATCATAGTCTTTTTCCCCATATTCTACAATCCTCTGATTAGTTTATGTTCTCAAAATATAATGACTTCACTGTCACAGAAGACATCAAGATTACTATCCTAAGAGTATAATTATAAAACTAATTGTTTCAAACGTAAATAAGTAAATATAAGTCATTCAATATTTCAAATAAGACTTTATTTTTTTACAACCTGACAGACAGATAGATAGATAGATAGATAGATAGATAGAGAGAGAGAGAGAGATAATGGGGCGACTGAGATAGATAGATAGATAGATAGATAGATAGATAGATACGCGCATGCGAAATAACTGTGATAGATAGATAGATAGATAGATAGATAGATAGATAGATAAGCTTCGTATCATAAATATGAATAGTCCACGATGAACATTACTAGACATAGATAGATAGATAGATAGATAGATAGATAGATAGATAGATAGATAGATAGATAGATAGATTGGGTGATTTTACGACATGTGTCACTCAGTAAGTATCGAACTCTCAACCCATATTTTTAGGTTAAACTCACTAACGATCTTCTTCGCCGGGCAAATAGATAGACGCCTTATGTTAGATTGGTTGAATTTTCAATGTTTAAATAATTGTTGGGTTATTTTGTGTCGAATGTTGAATGGCAATCAAATTCATTTTTCCGTGATTTTCATGTTAAGTTAGGTTGGTTTCTTTTATGACATGTCAACTATTGTTGGGTTATTTAATATCGGATTTTATATGGGACATCCGATGAGAAGGAAATTCAATACTCGATATTAATAATCAAACAGCCTAGCTTGGTTAACCCTAACCACACGCCTAAGTGCATAGATAGCTAGGTAGGTAGTTTATTCATAGATTCCTGAATGGCAGCCATGCGACTGGGGCGAATATATACAGGTACGATGGCTAAATTGTCGCTGTTTTACATCTTAATTTCGCGCATGCGCCCAGTTTGTTTTTGATTTTGTTGACTGCACAGTATAGTAGGGTCAGTTGGGCACCGTCTATGAGAAAAAAAAGTGCATTATGACTCAATTCACTCCGCCAGAAATTTGGAGACGGCATGATGTACAGCTTGGCATTTGCGCCAGAAACTCTAATACGAACATTTTAGAGTGTTTGGGTGTCAATCTAGAGACCGTGCCGAGGATTTGGAAATAGTTGGATGATATATCCATTCAACATCATGATGTTTGGAGTGATCACTAGTGACGGCGACGTTATGCCTCCATTCATCTTGCCGTATGAGGGCCTACATCAAGTGTCATGAGGAGGTAGACTTAAGAGGGTGATGTTTGCAAAAAAAAAAAGAAAACCTATCTCTGGCAACAGGACTGTGAACCATGTCACACAATCAGGAGAACCCATTCATGGCTGTCAGACAATTTCTGCGATCACACCTCCCCTTACATCTGGCCACCTAGCTCCCCTGACTGCAACCACCTTGATTATCATGCGAGGAGCACTTGAGCGAGACACCGTCAAAACACATTGTAACACCAAAGATGAACCGAAGGCAAGGGTTATGGCAGCATTTCACCAACATAATCAAGGAGATCCTGGGTATGACGATAAATTACATCCAACAGCAAGGCCACTAATCAGGAGGTTTTGAGGAGCGTTCCCTGGTGTTCCCAGCTGTTAGCGTCCTAGCTATGGACAAATAGTTAAAAATAGTTTCAGATATTCCGTATTCGTCTGGACGCCGTGGTTAAAGCCAATGGCGATTTTATTAAATAAATGTATTCGTTAGTATTTCAATATATTTATGTGTAATTTTGGTTAATATATCTGTTAAAAAGTGATGTCAGTATTATTTTCAGTTTTGCGTAATTTAGACGACATTTTACCCATGGCTCCCCGTATAGACCGAAATTTTATCTTTAAATAATATCTTTGATTAATTGAAGTTTATTATTTAAAACATTGATGTTTCAAGGTATATTTATTTGATATTTTTCGAAGCTAGATCATTTTAACTTTATTATAAAAAGAACACATTTTTGATGGGAAATTTAATTGTGTCTGTGATATTATTCTTCATAAAAATGAACCTATTAAATTTAGTTTTTAATAATTCGATTTCTTCTTTCTCAAAGGTGTTTTAAGAAAGTGTGTAGACTTAAATTTACTGTCTATAAATACGTGGAAGACAGAAATCTTTCGCGCTGATAAATTAATGACAAATGTCACTTATCAGGTCATTAAAATCGATACATTTAATATTTTAAAATTCTTCTTCAAAATATATTGCTAAAATGTAGTTGAAGAAAAAAAATATTTCTGTGGAATAGTTGAACTATTTTAAACTGTGAAACTCACTGAAATGTCTTTATTAAGTTTTATCAAATAAAGTTAATATTTTTCTCTATAACATCTTGATTATAAAATTTGCTTGTTATAAATATTTCTTTCTTTATAAATGTTTTAAGTATCTTGAAATTTACTGTGCGTTGCAAAATCTTTATTTATTTCGGAAATGCATCATTTCTATACGGAAAAATGCATGGGGTTATAAGTGTGTTCCAATAATTTGGACCGATTTTAAACTTAATTCACATTTAAAATCAGTCCAAGTTATTGGAACACCTTTTATCATTGTCAGATAGAGAGCAGTGATGGCACATATATGAAATCCAACATAAAAATTTCGGAGGTGGAACTAGTAAAAACTAATCACTTCAAATACCTCGGCGCACAGATCAGTTAGAATGAATTTAATATAGGAGAAAAGGAAAACGATCATAGAATTGTCTGCATCAGAGTTAGTTTCGCCAAACACGGCAAATGTCCACAAATCCAAAAAATCAAGCTGAACACTCGAATTATGTACTTAAACAATGTTGATCCCATTCACTGTATGAATGACTACAAAAATATCGCCTCCTCAAATTTATAGACAAACCGTACAGATGCATGCTGGGATTTCTTCCTAGCCAATAAGATAGATAACTTCTCGATTTTATCCTCCATATTTTTGTTCTTTCTTCTCTAGAAGACAGAACCCTGCGATCACGTGCCTGTATCCCTTTTGTGTGTTAACACCATTCTTAGTTTTTGATTATTTTTTCTCGTTATTACTGTTGCTTTGCCTACTTTTGTCTTTCATATATTGTTTGCTTAGTATTATTTTGCAATGTTTTTTTTTTCTTTTGTTATTGTTTATTGAAAACTTTGTCAATCGTGTTTTGGGGCATTTCTGCCAATTACAGTTACTCTACCATTAGAACTTCGCCCGATCGAGACTTTGATATTGATTCTATGCATGGCTCCAAACTCGTATAGAAATATCCAATCTGCCAGTTGCATGGAACTAATTTCTAAGGTCAATGGTTTAAAAGGCTTTTAGCGAGTGAAGCCTCAGTGTCTTGGCAATGATCATTCATCTTTGAAAATCCTGACTGGCGCTACAGATTCACAAAGAACTGTACAAAATAACAGAAACCACATCATTTGAGGACTACCAACAGCAGCAACAACTAAAATGGATAGCACATGAAATTCGAATAGAAAATAATGACACGATTCAAATAAAATGTTTGAAAGGAAAACCCCATCAATATCGGAAAGAGCTACTGGAATTGAAAAATTTCCCGGACATTTTTTTAAGGGAAAATTTTTTATCAATTTCGAGTGAAAGGCGTACTGGTTTCCCGCTCAATGAATGCGAAATGTTCCCTTATAAGGAAATGGCTAATATTGTCATAACCATATTTTTCAAAAATTATTGTTTGTTTGATTCTCTTAATGCAACTCAAGAACTAACGCTAAAAGCTTCTAAATTTTTTAAAGTTTTATTTATAAAATAATATTTATTCATTTCTTTTGTGATATTTCCATTGAGACTTTATCGTAAAGTTTAACTTTTTTTCAAGTAGTAAATATATAGTAATGAAATTACATTCACCCTGGGTAAGACGTTAAACTACATCCGCGTCCTGGGTAAGACGATAAACTCCATCCAGCAGCAAGGCCTCTGATCAGAAGGATTTGAGAAGCGTTGAACCACATCTTAATTGCTGGTGTTCCCAGGTCCAACCTGACCCGGGGTGGTAGCACCTGTTAGGGTCCCAGCTATGGGCAAATAGTTAACTATTACCAGCAATACTCTTTTGAAAAAAATTATTAGCAGCAATAAAATTTTGAAGGAAAAATATTACCAGAAACGGATTTTTGACAAAACAAATTATTACCAGCAATAAAAAATGTTGCCGGCATTAAATAACCCATTGAGATTGGTATGCCGTAAAACAAAATAAACCAAACCAAATTACATTCACATAAAATGGCGTTCATCCTGCTAACATCAATTCTGGTGATATCAATCTGATAATTAATTCTGGTAATATCAATCTGGTAATTCATTCTGGTAATATCAATATGGTAATTCATTCTGGTAATATCAATTTGATAACTAATTCTGGTAATATCAGCCTGGTAATTCATTCTGGTAATATCAACTTAGCAATTCTTTCTGATGATATCAGTCTGATATTTCATTCTGGTAATATTAATCTGGTAATTCATTCTGGTAATATCAATTTGGTAATTCATTTTGGTAATATCAATCTGATAATTTATTCTGGTAATATCAATCTGGTATTTCTTTCTGCTAATATCATTTTGGCAATTCATTCTGGTAATATCAATCTGGTAATTTTTAATTTTTATTATTCACCTTTTTACATATAAGTAATTAGTTGACACAGTACACTATACTATTAAGTTGTGTCCCTGTTAATGAAAATGGATTTTAATTATTATTCAAACAATGTATGCAGATAATATCTATTATGATACCATAATGAAAAAAATATTTTCTTAATTTTCTGTAAAACAAAGACAAAGCTACCTACAGATGTGATAAAAAAAAACACAGAATAAAATTGACGGAATTTGTGTTTGAGATTCATTTGTTTGTTTTTTCTCAATATTTTTAGACTTTATTGATACATACTTTTTTGTCAAATTTTGAAATATTTTCTGATTTTATTATGCAATTATATTGTCTTTGCTTTTAGTCAATTAGTATAAACAGACTAACTATTTTTGCAGTACAATCTAGAATGTTCATAATTTGTGGTGATTAAGAGATTTTTGTGCATTTATTTAGTAGAGGGGGTTTGTTTTGTTCTTCCTTTGTAGATTTGCATTAATGAAAATAAGTCAATAATTGTTATAATTTCTAATTAATCGATTACTGGATATGGCCTTTTGTTCTTTGCTAAAAACGTTCTTTCCAATAAACACTTACTAGTAATCTAGGTTTTGACGGTGGAATAATGGATAAAGGCTCGGATGGAGGAATCGGAGAGCCGAGTTCGAATTCATTACATTCCCTTACGCGCTAATACTCTTGGGAAATGTATAAATCCCTTTCTTCTACCCCCAACTATGGGTAAATAGTAGGGAAAAATGGGTTCTATAACCTTGGACGGCAACTGGTCTACCGCAGAAAGAAATGGCAACCTACTGCGGGAAAGGTACATGATCGCATCATCGTGTATCACGCATGACACATAACTGAACTGAACTAAAATATCCCCCAATCGAGGATCACTGTGAGATATCTGCTAATCCTTTTATACGCATCTCCTTACTCCAGATGCACAACGACAGTCTGACGTAAATCATATGTAAACAGATGTTCATAGATAGATAGATAGATAGATAAGCTTCGTATCATAAATATGAATATTATATGATAAGCATGCCTAGACATAGATAGATATATATGAAACCGATGTGATAGATAGATAGATAGATAGATAGATAGATAGATAGATAAATAGATACATACATACATACATAAGCTCCGTATCAAAAATATGAATAGTACACGATAAGCATGACTAGACAGTGATAGATAGATATATATGTACGAAACGGCTCAGATAGATAGATAGATAGATAGATAGATAGATAGATAGATAGATGTAAACAACCTGAGACAAACAGCGTAGCAGACAGATAGATAGATAGATAGATAGATAGATATTACAAGTATGTGTCACCCAGTAAGGTTAAATTTTGTATGGAGCATCAGGTCGGGATCAAACTCACGACCAAGTAGTAATTGACAAAACTAATCTCACTAACGATTACTTTCGCCGGGGGTGCATGAAAACAGATTGATTGGTAGATAAGCGGATATCTGATAATATAAACGAACAAACATTGCAAATAAAAGAATTAAACACCGAATTGTTTGGACTTTGCGTTCAAGCATGAAATGACAGTCTGTGTTGACATTAGTGTGCACTCTTCTTAGATAGATAGATAGATAGATAGATAGGGTCAGACTGAGATATAATCTGACTTAGATATGATCAGACATAGATAGATAGATAGATAGATAGATAGATAGAGATATCATCAGACATATATGATTAGACTGAGATCAATCTCTCATAGATAGATAAATAGATCAATAGATAGATAGATAGATAGATAGATAGATGTGATCAGACACAGATATCATCAGACTTATATATGATTAGACTGAGATCAATCTCTCATAGATAGATAAATAGATCAATAGATAGATAGATAGATAGATAGATATGATCAGACATAGAGATGATCAGACATAGCTAGCTAGCTAGCTTGTCAGATAGATTTGATCAGACTAAAACAAAGTCTTATAGATAGATAGATAGATAGATAGATAGATACGAACAAACTGAGATCGATGGATAGATACGAACAGACTGGGATAGATAGATAGATAGATAGATAGATAGATATGATCAGATTGATATGATCAGACTTAGATATGATCAGACATAGCTAGCTAGCTAGTTAGATAGATAGATAGATTTGATATTTAAAGCAAAAAGGATCCCACTGGATATAATGAATCAGATTCTCATGTGGAATATGAATATGACTAATTTTGGCGCCCAAAAGCTGAGCATGCAATCTGCGGGACAAGTGACATTGATAGAAAGGTTTTATGTCATGTTGGGAGGAATGTTGGTTGGTGGTAGAATCGATGTTACTCCTTTGCATATCACGTCTTTAATGAGTGGTTTGATAAAGGCGTATGTGTGCTGCTTCTGAAAGTCGACATTTATGGCCGGCGTAGAAAGTAGACACTGTGGTTTGTGCAATGAGGCTAAGGACTGTGGTTAAATGGTGTGGGGATAGAAGGAAGTAAAAGAGGTGAAAGGGCCAGCGAAGTTAGGGGGTGGAGGTATGAAATGGGGTAGATGGTAGTTTTGAAAGCAAAGGAAATAGAAAGAAATAGGAGAGAAGAAAGATTTTTAAAAAATGGAGGTCGAAGAAGAATAGAAAAAAAGAGGAAGTGAAAGAAAGATGAAGTGAGTGAAGGTGAAAGTTGAGATGAAATGTGCAAAGAAAGAAAGTTATCAAAAAAGAAAGAAAGAAAATTTAAAACGGAGACAAACTTAAACAGGAGACAACAGAAAGAAAGAAAGAAAGAAAGAAAGAAAGAAAGAAAGGTGAAATAACAGGGGCAACAGAAAGAAAGAAAGAAAGAAAGAAAGAAAGAAAGAAAGAAAGGTTAAATGACATGGTCAACTTAAAGAAAGAAAGAATGAAAGCAAGAAAGGAAGGTTAAATGACAGGGCCAACGGAAAGAAAAGAAAGAAAGAAAGAAAGAAAGAAAGAAAGAAAGAAAGAAAGAAAAAGGCGGGAATAGATGAACAAATCTGGAAGGTGAAAGATTGAAGATTGTTGTGCGAATAAAATTAATGGAAATGCGAAATAAAAGGAGGAGAAAAAGAAAGAAAAGAAACAAATGATGATCGTGGGTGGGAAGAAAGAAAGAAAGAAAGAAAGAAAGAAAGAAAGAAAGAAAGGAAATCATGGATACAAAAAAGAATATTGCAATAAAATAAAAGAAAAGGACGAAGAGTTAATGGACCTTTCTTAGAGAAGAAAGCCAACACGCGCGTGCGCGCGCACACACACACACACACACACATGTACTCACACAAACGCACATACACATACACGCATACTTACTTACACGGGCGTATTCATACATACACACCAATGAATACACCACATACATACAAGTACATACATACACACACATACATACACATACAAACATAGACACATAAATCCCTGCACACACATACGTACACACACATACATACTATACATACATATTACACACGCTTATATACATTCATACGAATGCATACATACAAACGTACATATGAACACACGCATAAATGCACACACGCATTCATGCATACACACATGCATACACACATTTATACATGCACACATACATGCAAAGATACTACGTATATACTACACACACGTACCTACTACACACATACATATTACACACGCATGCATACATACACACATGCACATGCATATAAAGCATTTACAATTTTACATTTATTACATACACACATACATATAAGCACATACATACTACACACACGTTCATACTACGCACATACATATTACACGCGCATACATACATACACACGCATGCATACATACATACATACATACACACATACATGTACATACATCTAAAGCATTTACAATTTTACAAACATTTCGTCGCAAACTTTTACATTTCAATATCCCAGATTTTTTTTTTTTTTTGCTTCGCTTTTCTTTTCTTTCCTTTTCTTCGCCACTCCCCTGCAGTTAATCCAAGAATACCATTCCTTGTTAACCCACTCTCATTATCTTAAGACCCACTACGTCAGGCTTCCTTCTCGTTCACTCGGACAGCCTTGACCCAAAACGAGGAACGGCTATCGGCAGCGCACATATTTACTATTGAACATTAATGCGAATAAACTCCACGCTTGTCATTCACGACTGACAAGAGTTTTCGGCATTGTTTTCTCTGCATTTCTCATGTCAAGCAAATGTTGAATGCAACAGAAGCAAAATCTTTGGAAGTTTACAAATTACTCATTCAAATGTTTTGTATTTTTATTTATTTATATTTTTATTTATTTATTTGCTTATTTTTCTCCCTGGTTTGGATTTTACAAACCTTTTGAATATAGTGCCGAGTTTCTAAAACTTACGGATAAAAATGCCGAATACAATCACGTAATATGGTATTTTTTTTTTTTTGAAGACCTAATTTTAAAGTTAATTTTAAGGGATACGTATCAGAAACGCTACTTCGTTTCAATGGGAAAAAAAAGTAAGAAAGAAATGTCTAAAGTCTCTTAAATATGTGTGCAGCTATGTGTGTGTATATATTTACGTATCTTTGGGCACCTCGAAGTAGTGTAATGGTTAGCAAGCTTGTCTCGCTAGAACAATTACGACTTAGTGAGTTCGATCCTCACTGGGTATCCCTACTTTCTGCCTTGTGCCGCATCTACGCTACGCTTGGAAAACCATTTTATTTATGTATCTGCATGTGCGTATGTATGTGTGTCTATTAAGATATAAAATTAGAGTGTGTACTGCTCGCCCTAGCTATGAATTGATTAATATATATATATATATATATATATATATATATATATATATATATATATATATATATATATATATATATATATATATATATATATTAATTTTGTAGTCAAATTAGCTTCAAAATTAGGTCTTCAAAAGGTTCATGATACGGGCGTATATACGGTTTTCTATCTCAATTTGTCGCCATCTTCTGTGCGCATGCGCGTACACTGTAAATCAATGACTTATAGAATTTGGTAACGAATGCATAGACTTTTAAAGCCATCACGGATCTCTCTTGCTAAATCTTGTTATAAAGAGATATTTTCAGATGCCCCATTCTTCCGCTTTCAAAATTCAATAACCGATAATGTTTTATGTTGGCGGACATAATGGAAAAAGAATGTCTAGACATATTTAAATAATAACATTTATTTTATCGAAGAAACAATGAACGACGTATGGTTTTATCTTTTTTGAAGTAAAACATAAAAGTACAGTAACTACAGTGTATTTGCTCTTATTTTGAAACTACGGGGAGTCCTCGACTTACGACAGAGCTCCATTCCCTACGGCGCGACGTAAACTGATTTCCGACGTAGGTCAGAACTCACCTATATAAGCACCAGCGAGTCTGCCTTACGCATGGGAGCTCTAATGAAAGGCAAAAAGTTCCCTAAAAAAGCAATATAAACGAGAGATAGCGAATGTAGCACAATCCAACATGGCGTACACCCAGTGAAGAAACAACGTTGTCTTCCTCATATAGCACCGTGTGACCACATATTATATCATTGGAGATGGTACTGTAACTACGAAACGCCTGGGAGACGTAACCTGAGGACCTTCTGTAATTTTAAGTGGGTAGCATCATACACGATATAAAATTAGCGTATGTATTGCTGGCCCTGGCTACGCTGTTGACCAAACTATATGGTGTAACCTATAAAAGGTTAGTGAATAAGGAATAACCAAAACGGAGGTTGGAAATGAAATGGTAATCTTTATAGCATTAGCAAAATACAATACTCGCCAGCGGCGTGAAGTAAGTAAACGACTGCTAGTGGTGGACTAATTAGACAGCATATTACCCCAACTTACAATAGTGTCCAAAGTATTTATGAGGATTGGGACATACCATTCAGTGTTCATGGATTCGATATATAACACGATCTATCTTAGTATCGTATATTCATGATCTATCTATCTATCTATCTATCTATCTATCTATCTATTGTAACCCAGGAAAGGTTACTGAATGAGGAATAACCAAAACGGAGGTTGGAAATGAAATGGTAATCTTTATAACATCAACAAAATAAAATACTCGCCAGCAGCGTGAAATAGGTAAACCACTGCTAGTGGTGGTCTACTTAGACACCATATTACCCCCACTTACAATAGTGTCCAACGTATTTATGAGGATTGGGACATACCCTTTAGTGTTCATAAGTACAGTACATAACACTATATATCCATTTACCGTTGGGCACCTCTAGGCGGTGTAATGGTTAGCAAGCTTGACAATTACGACTGAGTAGTGAGTTCGATCCTTACTGGGTGCTTCATACTTTTGGCCTTGTGCCACATCTAAGCTACGCTTGGAAAATCACTATATCCATTTACTGTAGTCAAATTAGCTTCAGTATTAGGCCTTCAAAGGTCGTATGATACGCGCGTATATACGGTATGTAAAGAAAAAACGAGAGCAACTAAAATAGTTCAATGGAATATAAGCAATGAAAAGGAGTATCTAAATATTGGTTCGATGAAATTGACATAGCTGTTATATTTTAGATATTTCAGAAATATAAACGCTTTTGGAAGGCATCTTTCGCTTTCGGTTTATCACTCATTTCTCTGTTCCTAACAAGATTTTCCCGTTTCTTAATACGTTACTTAGCTTTTGGAAGGCATCTTTCGCTTTCGGTTTATCGCCCATTTCTGTGTTTCTAACAAGATTTTTCCGTTTCTTAATACGTTGCTTAGCTTTTGGATTCGGTGTCACTTTTTTCGTCCTCTGTTAACCAGATATAGTTAACATAAAATCTTAATGAAGCTTAACCTGGTTTGGCACAAAGTTACAATAAAATGAGTCCCAGTAATCATCAAACTCTCAATATTAAAGAATGGTCAGTGAGAGGAGATTTTTAGTCTACACTTTACACTTTCTATTTTTTCTAAAAGCGCGATTGTCCATAGAAGGACCGATATTACATAACAGTTCAGTTCTCTGTTCTTTGTTTCGAATGAATTTTTCCTATTTCTTTATATTTTGCTTAGCTTTTGGAAGGCTTCTTTTGCTATTCTTTTTTCGGTGTCACATTTTCCATCATCTCTTAAAACATTTCCCAGATATTTGAATTCTTGTACTTGTTCCATTTGATATCTTAATTTAGTAGTTTTCCTCTTGTTTTTTTTTTCTCTAGCTGACAACTATACATTCTATCTTCTTACAATTGATCGTTAGTCCTTTCTTCTCGCTTTCCTTTACATCTTTCGACAGTAGTTCCCGAAGTTTCCTTTCAATGGCTGCTATCAGTACTGTGTCATTTGCATATCATGTGGTAAAGATTGTCACCGCCAATAATATATGTTGCTAGACGATCTAGTTCTCTCGGGATTGCTTCACTGTAAAATTTGAATAAGTTTGGTGAGAAGACACATCCTTGTTTTAAACCTCTTTCTATTTTTATGTATTTACTGAATTCATTTTCCATCCGAAATAAAAATCAAAAAATAAAAGTGAAAATACATAGTTTGAAAATACAAATTAATTTCAAGTTTAGCAAACAAACAATAATGAATAAATCCAATAATAAATGTTGCTAGGCGATATTTCAATCAACCATTCGCCCCTGCATGGAGTATTGCTGCCATACATGGTCTGGCGCCACTTCTGTTTGTCTCAAGGTCCTTGATAAAATCCAGAGACGGATATGCAATGTAATTGGCCCTGATCTGGCATCTCGTCTGCAGTCGCTCTCTCATAGACGTGCCGTCGCTTCCCTCGCTCTTTTCTTACAAATACTTTCACAGTAACTGCTCCGATAAACTACTTTCGCTGGTTCCCAGGCTTCATGAATTTAAGCGTTCTACTAGGCTGGCATCTCGCTCTCAAATCTTCCACTGTCGAAACTGTTAAATGTAGCCGTCTCTTCTACTCCAATAGCCTCATGTCTCGCACCTCTCGCCTATGGGACTCCCTCCCCTTTTCTTGTTTCCCTGATAGCTATAATCTCCAACTATTCAGATATAATCGACATCTCCACATGTCTTGATCTATCCGCTATCCTTCTCTTCATCCTTTCCTCTATCACTCCTATTTGCTCTCGATCCAACTCTCTGGAACCCCTTGCGTGCTAGTGGCTTGCTGCCTTGCTTGGAGTGAAACGCTTAAAAGAAAAAAGATCTTGTTCGTTCGAGATTGCTTCACTGTAAAGGTTGAATAAATCTGGCGAGAATCTTCTTTGGAATCGATTTTTTGTATTTGAATGAAGCCAATCGAATGTGCACAAGCTAAAGACAAAGATGGCCACCTTCTTGCCTTTCGCCCGACTTGCTTTTCTTCACATACGCGCGTCGATATAGACATTGGGAACATGGGAATCAACATTGCGTGGTGACTGTCAGTTTCCCACTTCTGCGTGATGTTCGATTGAAATAGACGCCTCGTTTGATGTAAGAACAATGTCATATTAATAAGAAATCCTTTAATCTTTTAAAAATTGCTTTGTTTACTTTTCGAATACGAAGCTGAGCAGACATGAAGCTTTCGGGAAAATAATCCCGTGAAGAGGATGGATATTCCTTAAAAAGAGAAGTGAATACGGTGCTCGTTCAGACGTCCTCCGTTGCCGAGCATATTGGATCGCATAATGGGCGTCCTGGGTATGAAGACAAATTACATCCGCGTCCTGGGTAAGATGATAAACCACATCCAACATCAAAGCCTCTGATCAGGAGGCTTTGAGAAGCATAGAATCACCTCTTAGTTGCTTTTGTTCCCAGGTCCACACAGACCCGGGGTGGTAGCACCTGTTAGGGTCCCAGCTATAGGCAAATTGCGAGCATTGTCCTATGAAAGTATAAAAATAGGTTTTAATACCAGCAATGCTTTTTTGTAAAAAATATTACCAATAATACATTTTTGGAAAAAATATTACCAGCAATAAAATCTTTACGGCATTAAATAACCCAATGAGGTTGATATGCCGTAAAATAAACCAAACCAAACCAATCAAATTATGCTTACCTCTATAAAGAGGGATTCAGGCTGGATCGACACGGGGTACATATATTCTTTACTAAGATTTATCCAATATGCAGATCGATAGACGTAATGCACACTATTTAATAAAGACAATAGGGCGTCTATTTCAGTTACCAGGTATACATTATAATAACATGCGAAGTATATATATATATATATATATATATATATATGATGCTTTTATTTTACCGAGTGGCTTAATAATATATAATAAATATTATAATTTAATAATTGTACTTGTATTTCACTTCGTTCCGTTGTTTACGCCAAGCACAGAACTCACAAATAATGGACTTTTCCGTTTTGATCGAATGGGAAGACAAAAGATATATAAGTGACGCTAGAAAAAGAAAGATGGAAATGTTTAACGTCCCCTGCTATATATATATATATATATATATATATATATATATATATATATATATATATAATATATAATACACAACGTTGATAGCACGACTCAACAAAATGCAAATGTGCAATCTTCAGGTCCTGAATACGATCTGATATATATATATATATATATATATATATATATGAGAGAGAGAGAACGAGAGAGATACTGGAGCGACTGACATAGATTAATGGACAAAGATTGCACTAGATAGATAGATAGATAGATAGATAGATAGATAGATAGATAGATAGATAGATTCTACCAAAGACTAAAGGATGAGATGACTGTGTGATGTGCGAATAACACAAACGGACAAATACACTGACTGGTTTTAACCTTTAAAGATAACAGGAAAATGATTCTTTTTAAATCTACAAAGTCAGCTAGAATTAAAATAATAGACGTAATTAATATATATATATATATATATATATATATATAAAATAAATATATATATATATATATATATATATATATATATATATACACACACAATAGAGTGGGAGAGAGAGAAGAGGGTCTCATCAAAAATTGAGTTCATTCTAAATGTCTGGCTTGAAATTGAACAGTTTATGTGTTGACCATCATAAGTTTATTCTGGGACCGATTTAATATGTGTTTAATATTTGTACCGCCTGTGACACGGCACACGTCAAGTGAGTAGTTAAGCTCCTGCCAACCAGGCTGTAACATTACCCAGTGCAGAAGTGATTCTCTGCTTGAGTTCATCAACACTAGCATGTAGAGTGGGGACATAGAGCAGTCGCTTCACATATCCCCGTAAAAAGAAATCACACCGGGACAGGCCCGGTGACAGCGGCGGCCATTTCATTAGAAATTCATTTCCACCACATCCGATCCATCTCTGGAAGATTCTCTTTGAGATAACAAAAATAAAACATTAAATATAAAATTTTGATCTGTTTCTATACATCCAGTGAAGATTTGAGGTTATTTCAACAAGAATTAGCAGAAATATTGACCTGCGAAATAATGTCAAACAGTTTGGGACACCACATATATATATATATATATATATATATATATATATATATATATATATATATATATATATATATATATATTATATATATATATATATTCCGTTTTGATAGCGTGAGAATACAAAAATACCAAAGTGGTTACTTGGTCTCAGTGAAAAGAAAGGTAGAAATGTTTAACGCCTGTTTCAGTGAAATGGAAGAAATGTGTTGTTTTTTTTTTATTATTTGTAACCCCTTACTTCTTAAAATAACGGCCAGAATTCATATTTATGATTTTTATTGCAATATGTTGCGGAATTTGCTAAGCTCAAACATTTAACGATGCAACAAAGGGAATTTCTATAGATATTTTATTGTCGTAGAACTTGCCATGAGTTTATTCAATCATTTAATGAAGAATAGGAAAAAAGGAAAAGAGTTAAAACCAGTTATATTATTATTATTATTATTATTATTATTATTATTTTCTTCTTCTTCTTCTTCTTCTTCTTCTTCTTCTTCTTCTTCTTCTTCTTCTTTTTAATCTAAGACCAACAACGTGGACTGAACTACGCTCCTTTTTCTTGGGGGAGGGCGTAGTGGATAAAGGCGTATGTGTCACCCTCATCCTGTACGTACATGTATAAAATATCAATTTCCATAAATAGATAAATAGATAATGAATAGTTCTGGAGAGAGATAAGGAGGAACCGAGATAGATAGATAGATAGATAGATAGATAGATAGATAGATAGATAGATAGGGAGAGAGAGACATGAACAGACTAGGATAGATAGATAGAGAGAGAGAGAGAGAGATGAACAGACTAGGCTAGATATATATATATATATATATATATATATATATATATATATATATATAGAGAGAGAGAGAGAGAGAGAGAGAGAGAGAGAGAATAGATAGATAGATAGATAGATAGATAGATAGATAGATATGAACAGGCTGGTATATATATATATATATATATATATATATAGATAGATAGATAGATAGATAGAGAGAGAGAGAGAGAGAGAGAGACAGACAGACAGAGAGAGAGAAAGAGAGATAGATAGATAGATAGACAGAGAGAGAGAGAGAGACATGAACAGACTAGGATAGATAGAGAGAGAGAGAGAGAGAGATGAACAGATTAGGCTAGATAGATAGATAAATATATATATATATATATATATATATATATATATATATATAGATAGATAGATAGATAGATATGAACAGGCTGGTATATATATATATATATATAGAGAGAGAGAGACAGACAGTCAGACAGACAGAAAGAGATAGATAGATAGATAGATAGATAGATAGATAGATGTGAAAAGACTGGGGCAGAAAGAAAAATATCTCTGACCCTTGAAACTTTCACTTTTAATAGAAGACCTAAAGCCTCCAAATTGCTGTAAATTTCCAAGAAAAGACCTATTCCGATCGCTCGTCCAAATCGGGTTTCATAGTTTTATTAAAATAAGACATTGGACAGTGTCTTCGGTTGATTTATCTTTCTATTCCAATTATGCTGGGAAAAAATAGCGTCATTGAAAGAGAACAATTTACGATGTCAAATAAAATCTTGCGAACCGATGGCTTTTCTAGAGAATTAAACGTGGTCTTTTTTCTTTTCTTCTCTTGTAAATGTCTGTCTTTTAACAGTCTTATAAAAACATTGTTTTGTTTTAATTTTCTGAAACGATGGGACAGCCCTTTTCAAAGTACATTGTCGCAAATATTGTGTTTTAGCCCGCGGGAGTTACATTAATGGATAAATATTGAAATAGATAGATAGATAGATAGATAGATAGATAGATAGAGCGACTGAGACAGATTAATGAACAAAGTTTACATTAGATAGATAGATAGGTAGATAGATAGATTCTGACAAAGACTAATGAATGAGATGGCAGTGATGTGCGTATAACACACATCGACACAT